GCTCTGATATCAACTTGTCACGACCCGAATTTCCCACTCTCGGGGGTCGTGATGACACATACTAATGAAAGCTAGGCAAGTCAAATTACTTAACCTTCTTCATATATTTTAATCCTTTAACAATGGTGAACAACATCATATAAACAACAGAATTAAATAAGTGGAAGAAAAGAAATGTAACGATTTCAATATTACCAACACAATTCCATAACTAAAAGCTACCCAGATCTGGTGTCACAATTTCACAGATTGTCTAAGAGTACTACAAATAAAGGTCCGAAAGATAAATACAATCTGTTTCAGAAATACATAGAAGAAATAATATAGAAAGATAGAAGGAGACGCTAAGGCCTACGGACGCCTGCAGGACTACCTCGGGTCACTTGAATGGACTGAAGATAGCACCCTTACTACGGTCTAAAAGCTGCTGCACCGGGATCTGTACACAGTGCAGAGTGTAGTATCAGTACAACCGACCCCATGTGCTGGTAAATGCCTAGCCTAACCTCGGCAAAGTAGTGATGAGGCTAGGACCAGACTGCCAAATAAACCTATGCAGTTAAATTATATACAACGGAAAATAAAAGCAGATATTCACAGTTAAAGATGGGGAGGGGAGAACATGCTACGGGGAGTATCAGATAATAATGAAATACCAAAGAGGAATGTAAAGGAACCATAATTTAGTTGCCAACAAAAATGAGGAAACAAACACTGTATTCACTTTCATTTCTTTCTTGTTGCAGGCGTCAACCCGATCCCATTACATATATCTCATTGCAGGCATGCAACCCGCTCCCATTTCATATATCTCATTACAGGCGTGCAACCCGCTCCTATTTCATATATCTTGTTGCAGGCGTGCAACCCGCTCCCATTTCATATATCTCGTTGAATACCCTATTATTTGAGCCTTATCTACTTATATGTTAATTGCACCCCAAATTCACAATAATTGTCTGGCTGAGAACCAAATTAGTGGATATTGAGGGGCGCCTAACACCTTCCTCTTGGGATAATTTGAAGCCATTACCCAATCTATGGTTACCCAAACAAACTTAGAATTGAATCTATATTGGTGTCCTAATGCACCTTAATTATTAGATGGCGACTCTTCAAATGCAAAAACTCAGTTCCCAAAAGGAACGAGTTGTCTTTCCAAATGTCATAAACCCGATTTTGCGAGAAAAAAGGGGGCACGACACACAAATATTCACAAGTTTGGACCAAAGTACTTGCGCTTATTTCTCAAACAACCTAAATTACGCCAAATTGTTCCCATACAACGGTGCCAATTTTGATGACATCCAAATACACTACTAAAAAGTAAATGGATACAGTTGCATACAATATAATTTACCCAACTATGAGCCGGGGTCGAATCCCATAGAGAACAATATGTAGGCGATTAGGAATGTAAGAGAATTATCACTTGTTATAAAATGCCAAACACTTAGAATTGGTTTTAGGAAATGTTTATACCTAAATGCGAAAACGTAAACTAACCTAGAAAGCAAGTAAAATGATCAATGGCTACAAGGATGAATGCATTGGGAATTACACTCAAGTAACGATCCAATGTATTTCACAATTTTACAAATATGAGCGAGTTTATGTTAATTAGCCACAGGTAATAATTCTATATTAGCTTCTTCCAAAGACTAATAAGACTTCCTAATTAAATTACCCTAAAACGATTAAGAGATTAAGCACACCCGAAAATGGCTACAAGTAGTACAATCCTATCCCTAGGTAGAATCTATAAAATGAGGGTTAAAGCCTCAAGTTCTTGTTAATTAATCTTTTCCAAACCCAAATAATCTTTCCCAAAATTAATTTGGAGTTAATGGGTGAGTCCTAGGGTTAACTAATCCCTTTGGAAACATTAAAGAACAAGAATAATTAAAGAAACAATAACTCACTTCATAAAAGAATAAAAATCATTCAATACATAAGCACAACGAGGTATTTAATCCACACTTTAAATATGAATATTCCCATAAACAAGATTCAAGTGTTGGATAAAATACTACACACTTAGATATACATTACAAAGCAAGGAAATGAAGAAATGAGTATAAAAGAGTAAGAAATTCTTAACCACAACCTTCAAATCTTCAAAACCCAAGTGTAAGTGCATAAACCCTAGCTTCCAAACTTGTTCTCTCTAGTCTTTAGAACTGAAAATATGCCAAAGATCCTGAAAATATCTGCTAGGTCGTGTATAAAAATGGTTTGGGGATAAAAACGTGAAATGTCAAAACTACCCAGCACCTGACCAGAAAGTATACTGTGCGTTCACCACTGAAGATATGCGATCACAGAGAATGAATTCCCTGAGGTATGCGATCGCATAAGCTGCCCTGCGTTCGAACAGGTATGTTGACCAGCTGCTGTCTAGACTTTGCCTTATGCATTCGCATGTGTTCATACGCGTTCGCACTGTTTCATAGGCTTAAGATTATGCGATTGCATTAAGAATTATGCGATCACACAGTGTAAAAACTGGACAAACTTTATTTTTCCATTTTAGCTCCTTTTTGACTTGTTTTCACGTGGTTTCTTCACAATCATCCCTAAATCACTTGACACCTGAAATATACTAATAAACATCAACAAAATGCCTTAGTTTCTCTGATGTTTTATGCGTCAATACCACACAAGAGGGGGTGATTTGTGTGATACCCAATTTTTGATCTAGAAGAACCAGGTTCTTCTAGGTGTTTTAACTACTACTGTTTGCGGAATTAAAAGTACATAAAATAAAAAATACAGAGATTTTTACGTGGAAAACACCTGGATCAAAAGGTGAAAAACCACGACCTACTACTCAGTAGGATTTCCCCAACACTTCACTAAATCACTAAGCCAAAACAGCATTTATAAAACTCTTTGTAAACCTAAGGATTACCTCTAATCCCGTTGTAGCAACCAACCTCTAACTGTTGCGACAACTTCAAGTTAGCCTATAACTTGAACTCTCAAAGTACCTAATACAATTGCTTCTATGAAAGCTGGAAAGGTACAACTTTAAACCACCTACTACAATTGAACTAGAATAAGAAAAAACACAATAGAACTAGTTCTTCTATCTCATTCAAGTAGCTTCAGGAGTGCACTTCAAATCTCATATAAACTGCTTGCAAAACCGCCTTGCTCTTTTGCTTTCAATTTAGTTTAACTTCTGTGTATGTGCAAATCCATGTAAAAGAGATTAATCACTGTCATTTAATAGGTTAGTAATCAGAGTTTGATTGGGATTCAATTTCTGATCTTCTATCGTAGTTGAGTCCTTGACGATATCAAACTCTAATACTCTCTTTATCTGGATTGTGTTCTCTTCATATAAGGAGACTTTCTCCCCTTATCCAATATGTAACCTTTTTGATAAGATCAGGAGATATTGTTGCTTGATCAGTGGGACTTATCTCCTTCATGTGCATCTCACATGTATAGGTTGATCATGACTGAGTTCATTTGTTATTCTTCAAAACTTCACCTGTTCTTGGGCCAACAAATTCCCCCTTTTTTGATGATGACAAACTTTGTACTTTTTACTGATTAAAAGATATGTAAGAACTTAGATTAACCATCAACACTAGACTTAGAAAATTTACTTCTCATCAAGGACCAGGTTAATTAGGTTATAAATATCACTTATTCAGAATAATGGGTAAAGCACAATATCTTCCCCCTTTTGACATCATTGAAAAGTTGCATACTTAATGTGAATCCCAGATTTTAAAAAGTACAAATGGCCACTGGGGCAACTGCAAGTGAAAACATGGTGCAATTATCAATAATCAACAAACATATTTAAACTATTAAGGTCAGAATCATCATAGAACAAGAGAAAACAGTTGTTGTCATTGATCATGATATGTTGCCATTAACAGTCCACAAAAAGAAAGAAAAACTTTCAAAAGATGAGAAAAAGTAGAAAAATCCCTAATCCGGGTCACTGGGGTTCACTGGGGTTACTAGATAGGTTCAAAAGATAAGTACTAGGAGATCTAAGGCTTGGAGGAACTAGAGGGTTGAGTCTGGAGAAGGTTCAGCATATTCTGAAGGATTCCATCACTCTTCTCCTTTTCTTTTGCTAGCTCAGTTCTAAGGCCATCCCTCTCAGTTTCCAATTCAGCCACACGAGCCTTGAGCCTAGCATCCTTAGTTCCACATTCCTGAACCAAAGTCCTAACCTTGCTGTTTATGGGTGTCTTCAGAGATGAACCAGGTTCAACTGGAATGGCATTGACTGGATAGTCACAAGCCAGAAGAGTCTTAATGCCAAAATGTTCCTTTCTTTATGCCATTTCCCATTTCTTCAAAGGCACGTTCAGCCTGTCCAGAACAGTGGTCAGTATGAAGCCATATGGAGTAGCATGAGCCTTGGAGCCATTGATGACCCTGTCTAGCAATTTTACAATGAGAGCAGGCCAGTTGATCTGCTTTCCTCTCTCAAGGCACTCCATAAGATCTAGGTCAATGTAATTTACAGTATGTCTTCTCTCTTGTCTGGGCAGTAGGCACTTGTTGACAAATTCAAACACAACCTTGTGCTCAGCCCTCATCTCACTTTTCTGCACAGCCCTGGCTTCATTCACATCCTCTGAATCACAGAACCCCTTGGTGATCTCAAGAGCAGTAGGTAGGGAGTCCAGGCATGGCCATCTTTGCCTAGTGTACTCATCAAACCTTTCAGAGGGTATATCTAGAATTTCTCCTAGTTTCGCAACATCAAATTGCACTAGGACTCCCTTTACCAAGCTACTGACAACCCCATCCTTAACATCAGCATTAGCCATGAACTCAATTAGTCCATTTCTGGCTAGTCTCCCATCCATCTGAAGGACCATGTCCTTCCAACCTTGAGTAGTTAAAGAGTCAACCAACCTCATCATCCATGGTTCCACCAGGTCCTTCAACAATCTACCTTTCAAAAATTTTCTCCTGCCAAAGATGGCAAACTTGTCCTGTTCCTTCTCAGATTCCTCTTCTTTTTATTTTCCACTCCACTCTTCATCATCTGAAACTTTTGCTTGTTTAGTTTTTACTACAGATCTTGTCCTCTTGGCTAGTGAGGGTACAGCAGACACAGGTACAGAAGAAGACTTCTTGGAAGAGGTCTTGGATTTTTTATGTTTAGGTGTAGAAGCCTCCACTATTGTACCCCTTTCTTGATGGACCAGTTCCATCTCCTCTTCCTCTACACCCTCAGAGGATTCGTTAACCTTTCCCTTTCCCTTCTCCATTTTCCTTTTCTTGCTTTCTTCTAGAGCCTTTTGTAAGTCAGCTTCACTTTGTTTTACCCTGCTTCTTGTGGCTCTTCCCTTAGGCATTGAAGAGGCAGTAGGTTTTGGGGATGAAGTTTTTCTTTTCTTGGATGGATTGGCAACATTTGGGGCTTTTGGTGTGGTAGCTTTGCATTTCTTTGGGTCATAACTTGTCCCAATCTTTCTCAGTAGATCAGCTAGGTTCTCTTTAGTAGATGAAACAGTTTCATCTCTCCTTTTGCTCAGATGAACCAACCCCTCAGCAGCCTCTCCAGACCCACTTCCCCTGACTTCATGTCACTCTCTTCTAACATCTCTTGTGCAACCCCACATATAGCAAGAACTGCTCCCTTCCCATTTCCCTTCTCTTCACCACATGCACCTTCTCTCTCTTTTTCTTTTTCAGACTTCTTTTTACCTCCACTCCTACTCGTCTCAACCAACTTAACATCCCTAATGGGTCCAACTAGAACAAACCTAGTTTCAAAGTTTTCAACAACAGATGAACTTACCTCAGTAGGGAATTCTTGAGTCTTCTCAGAGTCAGAAGACCCATGTCCTTCCCCCCTCAGTCGCAAATTGAAAGGATTCAGACCCAGAACTGGAATCAGAATTTGGAGCTGGGCTATTTTTCACTTGGCTAGCTTTCAACCTTTCATTTAAAACCTTTCTTAGAGCCCCAGATGCTACTGTTTTTTGAGCCAACATTTTCTGCCTTCGAAACCTAGGTTTTGGGGATTCACTAGGAGGAGTAGATGAGGATGAATTTGAGGGTGATGGTGGTGGAGGAGAACCAGGATGATCTTGTGGGTTAAACATTTTTGTTCGTGTCTTGAGTTAATTGGGGAATTTGAGAGAAGAGAGCAATTAGAGTTGAAGAACAGAATTTTTGACGGTTTTAGAATAATGAAGAAGATTAGAGATGTGGTGTGTATTTAAAGATAATTAGACATTAATTCAGTAACGACAACTTTTCAGGGGTCAAATAGAATTCTAATCAAACTGTAATTCCAGACTTTTAATGATTATTTGGCTTCCCTAGATATTAGGCAAAAATTACAGTTTTAGAGTTCTAAATGGACGAAACTGGTTCAATGCTTCAACGGATAGTATTTTCTACGAATTTGGCAAGTATAGGACTTCTGCTCATGATTGAATTATTAATCTTTCTAATTGTGCAAAGTATTGAAGCCATGCCTGAGCTTTCATGTGAACTCATATTGATGAACCAGGTTCTTCATTTAGACTTCTCTTGAACATGCCTCAAATGCCATAATAGAAAAAACTCTGTAAGAGATCAGTGAGTCATATGTACACATTTCACAGGAGTATACTAATTAAAGTATGAGACTGAGTAAGAATTAATCTAGATATTTACACAAAGTTAGAATTCCTAGCCAAAAAAGAATTTTTTTTCTAAGCTGGACCTATTACGCGATCTTAATCATCCCTAATTCCAACCTGTTCCTCTCAAAGTTTTCCCTACTCAGTGCTTTAGTGAAGATGTTAGCAATTTGCTTATCAGTAGCACAGAATTCTATGGAGATCAGACCTTTCTCATAATTGTCTCTTAAGAAATGGTGCATAATATCTATGTGTTTATTCCTTTTATGATGAACAGGGTTCTTTGTCATACTTATAGCACTTGTGTTATCACAGAATATAGGAATGCAACCTACTTCTATACCAAAATCTACCAGCTGCTGTTTGATCCATAGCAATTAAGCACAACAAGAAGCAGTAACAACATATTCAGCTTCAGCAGTTGACAAGGCCATAGAATTTTGCTTTTTAGTAGCCCAAGACACAAGACATGAACCAAGGAAGTGTGCCATACCTGAGGTGCTCTTCCTATCCACTAGAAAACCTGCATAATCAGCATCAACATATCCTACTAAATTGAAATTGCTACCTTTGGGATACCAAAGACACAGATCAGTGGTGCCTTTCAAGTATCTTAGTATCCTTTTGATAGCAGTCAGGTGAGACTCTTTAGGATTTGCCTGAAAGAGAGCACAAAGCCCTACACTGAAAACAATGTCAGTTCTGCTAGCAGTAAGATACAAGAGTGAACCAATCATACCCCTATACAACTTTTGATCAACTGATGAACCAGGTTCATCAATATCTAATTTAGTGGCAGTTGCAATGGGTGTGTCTATTTCTTTAGATTCTTCCATTTTAAACTTTTTGATTAGCTCCTTTGCATACTTTTGCTGATGGATCATGGTTCCATTTGGACTTTGTTTGCTCTGTAAGCCTAAGAAGAAGTTAAGCTCACCCATCATGCTCATTTCAAACTCACTCCCCATTAATTTTGCAAAGTCCTTACTTAGCTTATCAGTAGTGGCCCCAAAGATTATGTCATCAACATATATTTGTACAACAAGGATATCCTTACCTTTTTCCCTTAAGAATAAGGTACTATCAATTTTACCTCTTTTGTAACCATGCTCCAGCAGGAATTCGGACAATCGTTCATACCATGCTCTTGGGGCCTGCTTGAGTCCATAGAGAGCCTTGTCTAACTTGTACACATGCTCAGGACATTCCTTGCTCTCAAACCTTGGAGGTTGTTTCACAAACACTTCTTCTTTCAGGTAGCCATTCAGGAAGGCACTTTTGACATCCATTTGATGAAGAGTGAATTCCATGTGTGATGCAAAGGCTATGAGGAGTCTGATTGCCTCTAGTCTTGCAACTGGAGCAAAGGTCTCATCATAGTCTATGCCCTCATCTTGGCTGTAACCTTGGACCACCAGTCTTGCCTTATTTCTTGTAACTGTTCCATCTTCATCGAGTTTGTTTATGAAGACCCACTTTGTACCAATGACTGATCTGTCCTTGGGTCTTGGAACTAGATGCCAAACTTTACTTCTCTCAAACTAATTAATTTCATCTTGCATTTCAATCACCCAATCTGCATCCTACAAAGCCTCAATAATATTTTTAGGCTCAATAAGAGATAAAAAGGCATCAAAAGCACACTGATTCTTTAATTGTGATCTAGTTTTGACTCCAGATATTGGATCAGTGATAATGTTCTCAATAGGATGAGAACTTTGATACTTGTGAGGTGTCTCAACCAACTGGTTTCTGCTAGATGTTTCTCCCATGTTCTGTTGCTGAGGAACAGGGTCATGAACAAGTTCTTTTAGGGGATTTATTTCAATTCATCCTTGATTAGTTCCCCCTGTCAGGTTGCCCTGGATGGAAGAACCTGTTCCATCACCTGTTCCTTGTTTTGGTGCCTCTTTGACTTGTGCTGAGGCTTCAGTCAGATCCTTTACCAATCCAATGGCTTCATCTTCGTGTTCATGTCTCTCAGAAAGAATGTTAGTTTTATCAAATACTACATGTACACTTTCTTCTGCGCACAAAGTTCTTTTATTGAACACTTTATATGCTTTGCTATGTGAAGAATATCCCAAGAATACTCCCTCATCACTTCTGGGATCAAACTTACCTAGGGAGTCTTTTCCATTATTGTGCACAAAGCACTTGCAACCAAATGCCCTAAGATGAGATATATTTGGTTTTCTCCCTTTAAGTAACTCATAAGGAGTCTTCTCTATAAGAGGTCTAGTCATGCATCAATTGATAATGTAACATGCAGTATTTACAGCCTCTACCCAGAAGCTATGGGGCAATTTACTATAAAGAAGCATAGTCCTAGCCATGTCTTCAAGAGTCCTATTCTTTCTTTCAACTACTCCATTTTGTTAAGGTGTCCTAGGGGCAGAGAAGTTATGATCTATACCATTTTCATCACAAAATTCAGCAAACTTAACTTTCTCAAATTCAGTTCCGTGATCAGAACTAATTGATGCAAGTTGATTTTCTAATTGTTTTTGAGTTTTTCGAACAAAGGCAGTAAACATGTCAAATGCTTCATCTTTAGATGTTAGAAACAGTACCCAGGTAAATCTAGAATAGTCATCAACAAGTACCATTATATACTTCTTTCCACCTCTGTTCATGGTTCTTATTGGACCATATAGATCCATATGGACCAGTTCCAACGACTTGGTTGTGCTTACCATTTTCTCGCTTTTGAAGGATGATCTTACCTACTTCCCCCCTGCACAAGCCTCACAAACTTTGTCTTCCTTGAACTTGATGTTAGGTAACCCTATCACCAAGTCCTTAGAGACCAATTTGTTTAGCTGATTCAGACTGGCATGACCAAGTCTTTTGTGCCACAGGAGGGGATCATTATCCAGCACACTTAGGCAGGTTAGTTCATTTTCTGAGAGAGTGGACAAATCTACAATGTAAATATTGTTAACTCTTTTTCCCTGCAAAACAATCTTGTCAGTGGTAAGATTAATCACAAAGCATTTAGTAGAGGTGAATGCTACAAGGTTATCTCTGTCACACAGTTGTGACACACTGATAAGGTTGTATTTCAAGCCATCTATCAAATAGACATTCTCAATGGAGTGAGAGTCTGTCTTACCTACCTTTCCAACCCCAATGATCTCCCCTTTCTTCCCATTTCCAAAGGAGACATTGCCTCCCTTTAAGTCCTTTAGTGAAAGGAACTGGTTCTTACTTCTAGTCATATGTTTTGAGCAGCCACTATCCATGTACCATATTTGGCTGCTTCCTTTCACTTGGACCTGCAAAAAGAAATCAAGGGTTAGTCTTAGGAACCCAAACTAGTTTGGGTCCCTTTCTATGGGCAAAGGGATAAATCAAATTCCTTCTAGCCCACCTAAGCAGCCTATTTTTTTCTTGAACAAAGGTTTTGTTCTTTTTATTGGCCTTTTCGTTTGCATTACATTCATTTTTATAATGGCCAGTCTTGCCACAATGTGTGCAAATTTTGTTTTCAGGAAGAGTGAGGTACTTGCTTTTAGGATCCCACTTAGGTGCTTGAGTTCCATAACCAAGTCCTCTTTTGTTGCTACTGTGATGTTCGTGTAGCCAGGAGAGTGCATCAGAAACCTTGTTCCATTTGGAAGTTCTGTCTAGTTCATGTTTTACCTTCCATAGATCTTCTTTTAGTACTCTTATCTACTCATCTTTCCTGTATAGCTCATCCTTCATTTTTTCTAAGTTTTCCTCTAGGGTGAGATGAGTGTGATCAGTTATCTTCTTTCCTGTTCCTAGTTTCAGTTTTAAGTTCTCAGACCTAAGTTCTACGACACTAGTGTCAAGTTCAAGAACTTGGTTCTTCAACTCAGTATTTTCACTTTCACTCTCATTAGCCCTAAACTCTAGATTTTTGCACTTGGCTTTTAGGATCATACATTCCCTAGACAGCTCTTCCTTTTCATTGTTAATTATCTCAAACTCATCAATGAAATCCTGCAATAGCTCAGACAACCTTTCTTTAAACAGGAATTTAATCTTGTCTTTGAGATGAAGAATAATTACCTCTTGTTCATCATCTGATTCTCCTATGGCCATAAGAGCTTGTTCATCTCCAGCTTCATCTTCTGATTCCTTATCTGATGTTTCTCTCTAGGCAACAACCATAGCCTTTGTTGATCCTTTGTTCCTTTTTGGTTGAACCTGTTCCTTCTTCCTACTCATTTGTTCAGCCCTTTCCTTCTTCCACTCAATTTCCCATTGAGGGCAGTTCTTGATCATGTGATTAGTCTTATCACACTTGTAGCAGCCCTCATTGGTCTGTTTCTCAGGAGCTCTTGGTTTGTTGAAGGTTTTACCTCTTGAAGAACCCTTTCCTCTCATCAAGTAATTTTTGAAATTTCTAGTGATCATAGCCATTTTATCATCCTCCAGATCTGAACCTTCAGCAATTCTAAGTGCCAGACTTCTTTCCTTCTTGGGTGCATCCATTTTTAGGGTCT